ATTTTTTATCTGTGGCATATGAATGAAAGAACTAATCTGTTTTTAGTAGTTTACTTACAGAGTTCTAAACTTAAGGTATTCACTAAGGTATTTGAGTCTGAGGAATTATTCACTAGAATTATGGTTTATGACCATAACGAATGTATTATTAACTCTAATATAAGGAGTACTGTGGTAATGGGTAGTTTCCTTTTTTTTTTTTTTTTTAATTCTCATATAATTAACATATGGTATTATGTTAGTTTCTGGTGTACAATATAGTGATTCAGCAGTTCTGTACGTTCCTCAGCGCTCATCATAAGTGTCCTCTTAATTCCCATCACGTATGTCACCCCTCCCCCCAGGCACCTCCCCTCTGGTGACCGTCAGTTTGTTTGTTCTCTATAGTTAAGAGTCTGTTTCTTGGTTTGTCTGCCATTTTTTCCTTTGCTCATTTGTTTCCCAAGGTCCACATATGAGTGAAATCACACAGTATTTGTCCCCCTCTAACCCACTTTGTTGAGCAATATACTCTAGCTCCATCCACATTGTTGCAAATGGCAAGATTTCATTGTTTTTTAGGGCTGGGTAATACTCCATTGAATGTATATACCACTTCTTTGCCCGTGCACCTATCAGTGACCGCTTGGGCTGCTTCCATAAGTTGGCCCTTGTAAATAATGCTACAGTAAGCGTAGGGGTGCACGTATTCCTTTGAATTAGTATTTTTATATATGTCGGGTAAATACCCAGTAGTGGAATTACTGGATCATAAGGCAGTTCTGCTTTTAACTTTCGAGGAACTGCCACAGTTTTCCACTAAGGCTGCACCAGTTTGCGTTCCCACAAGTAGCACGTCACTGCTCCTTTTGTCCCACAGCCTCACCAGCCCTTCTCGTGTCTTGTATTTTTTATTTGAGCCATGCTGACACGTGTGAGGTGACATACTGTGGTTTGGATCTACATTTCCCTGATGATGAGTGATGTTGAGCTTCTTGTCTTGTGTCTGTTGCCATCTCTGTGTCTTCTTTGGAGAAATGAATGCTTGTGTCGTCTGCCCATATTTTAATTGGATTGTTGTGAGGTGTGTGTGTGTGTGTGTGTGTGTGTGTGTGTAATTATATAAGTTCTTTATATATTTTGGAGACTAACCCTTTATCAGATACGTCATTTGCAGATATCTTCTCCCATTCCTTACGTGGTCTTTTGGTTTTGTTGATTATTTCCTTTGCTGTGCAGAAACTTTATTTTGATGTATCCCAATAGTCTATTTTTGCTTCTGTTTGCCTTGCCTTAGGGGACATACTTAGAAAAATGTTGCTACAACCAATGTCAGAGAAATTAGTAATGAGTAGTTTTTTTTTTTTTTAATTTTTAATGTTTACTTAGGAGAGAGAGAGAGAGAGAGCATGAGCAGGGGAGGGGCAGAGAGAGAGGAAGACACAGAATCGGAAGCAGGCTCCAGGTTCTGAGCTGTCAGCACAGAGCCCGATGTGGGGCTTGAACCTGTGAATTGCGAGATCATGACCTGAGCTGAAGTCATACGCTTAACTGACTCAGCCACTCAGGCGCCCCATAATGGGTAGTTTTCTTAAGATCCCCTATACATTGTCTCATTTGACCCTCAGACTAACCTTGAACCTTAAAATGTTGAATGGTATGCTTACAGTTAAGATCACATACTGGTTAACATGAGTCTGTCTCATTCTAAATTCCTGCTTTTTCTTTTCTTTTTAATAAATAAATCCAATAATAAAAGGTCCCCTACCATCATCATATAATAACCTTCTGTTCTTGCTGCTATAACCAACTGAGATTGAGAAGCTCAGCTTCTCCTGTATATTATAATTGTAACTTCTATTTAAGTAGTGATCTGTTCATTCATAAGTTTACTTCACATCCTTGAAATAATCATATATTATTTCAAGGTAAGACCAAAAATGTGGCTTTTATTTTTACCCAAGAAGAAAAACAATCTCAGGGAAATGACTTGTTTAAAGTTGACAGTGAATTAATGAAGAGCCAGATTCAGAATGTAGGGCTTAGAGTCTCAGATGTACCATGGTGATCTGCCACTTGCCAAATTGAATGTATAGAATTTGATATATTAATAGCCTCTACATAAATAAAGTTGACAATGAAACAGAAAACAGAAGAACAGTCTTTTTCCATCTGCCTGACATTTTACAGTTCTTCATTGCAAAACAGGCCTTAGGAATATCAGCCTGTGCATTTGTGAGATTTCATCTCTTCCACCTATCCGAGAACATAATGGCTGTTTTAGTTTTCCTGAGCTAAAAATCCTAAAAGAGACCGTGAAATGAAAGTGATAAGAACACACACACACACACACACACACACACACACACACACACACAGCCAGCCAGCACTGACTCTAAGTTAGAAATATTAAGAAGGTTTGAAGTGCATGGACAGGCTCCAGGATGGACACATCTTCAGTGAGGCCACAATTTTCTTAAGGACTGTTTTTCATTTTAAATATAATAGAGTAGAAGCACCTGGATGGCTCAGTCACTTAAGTGGCTGACTCTTGATTTCAGCTCAGGTCATGATCCCAGGGTTGTGGGATCAAACCCCACACTGGGCTCCGTGCTGAGCATGGAGCCTGCTTAAGATATTCTCTCTCTCTCTCTTACTCTTTCTCTCTCTCCCCCTCTCCCCCTCTGCTCCTCCCCTGCTTGTGCATGCAAGCATGCACTCCCTTTCTAATATAAATATATATGTGTGCATATACATATTTATAATGGAGTATATTATTAGTATTATGTTAATATTCACATTTTGGTATCATATTTTATCAATTAAATGTTTACATTTTTCGAACATATGCATTTCTTAATTTCATTATACTTATTTCTAATGGAAAAATCACCTTAATTTAAAAGGAAATCAGTAGGGGCACCTGGGTGGCTCAGTAGTTAGGCATCCAACTTCGGCTCAGGTCATGATCTCACGGTTTGTGGGTTCGAGCTCCGCATCAGGCTCTGTGCTGACTGCCAGCTCAGAGCCTGGAGCCTGTTTCAGAGTCTGTGTCTCCCTCTCTCTCTGACCCAGCCCTGCTCATGCTGTCTCTCTCTCTCTCTCTCTCTTTTTTTTTTTCTCTCTCTCTCTCAGAAATAAAGAAAACGTTAAAAAAAATTAATGATTAAAAAAATTAAAAAAAAGGAAATCAGTAAGAAGTTGAAATCACTTAATAAATGGAAATACAAATCAAAACCACACTGAGCTACCACCTCACGCCAGTCAGAGTGGCTAAAATGAGCAAATCAGAGAACTCTAGATGCTGGCGAGGATGTGGAGAAACGGGCACCCTCCTACACTGTTGGTGGGACTGTAAACTGGTGCAGCCCCTCTGGAAAACAGTATGGAGATTTCTCAAAAAATTAACAATAGAACTCCCCTATGACCCAGAAATAGCGCTGCTAGGAATTTACCCAAGGGATACAGAAATGCTGATGCATAGGGGCCCATGGACCCCAGTGTTCATAGCAGCACTCTCAACATTAGCTAAAACATGGAAAGAGCCTAAGTGTCCATCAACAGACGAATGGATCAAGAAGATGTGGTTTATGTATACAATGGAATCCTCCATGGCAATAAGAATGATATCTGACCGGGGCGCCTGGGTGGCTTAGTCGGTTAAGCGTCCGACTTTTGCTTAGGTCATGATCTCGCAGTTCGTGGGTTCGAGCCCCGCGTTGGGCTCTGTGCTGACTGCCAGCTCAGAGCCTGGAGCCTGTTTCAGTCTGTGACTCCCTCTCTCTCTGACCCTCCCCTGCTCACGGTGTCTCTCTCTCTCTCCTAGAAATAAAAAAAAAAAAAACATTTAAAAAAAAAAAAAAAGAATGATTTCTGACCATGTGTAGCAACATGGATGAACCTTGAGGGTGTTATGCTGAGTGAAATAAGTCAGGCAGAGAAGGACAAATATCATATGTTTGCACGTATAGGAGGATTAGGAGGAACTTAACGGAGGACCATGGGGGAGAAGAAGGGGGGAAATTTTGGGGGAGAGGGAGAGAGGCAAACCATGAGAGACTCTTGAATGCTGGGAACAAACTGAGGACTGATGGGTGTGGAGGGGGAGGGGGGAGATGGGCATGAAGGAGGGCACTTGTGGGGATGAGCACTGGGTGTTATATGGAAACCAACTTGACAATAAACTATTTGTAAAAAAAAATTTTTTTAATTAAAAAAAAAGAAATCACTTAATAAATTTGCCATCGAACAGGATTCTCAGGGGTCCCTGTCTATACCTCTGTTCCAGATTGCCATATCTAGGAGTGTTACTTAGTATATTTCATAACCTTTGCGTGGCACAAATACCTATTTCTTCCCAGTTACATCCAGAGTTGTTATCGCTGAGAGCTGGTGATGCGTTGTTTACCTATCAAGAAGACTTCACATGTAGTTACTTTTTCTTATGGTGGTGATGAGCTGTCAGTCTTTCAAAGATCTTTTTTATTTAGCTCTGACCCATCTGTGAGAGTAATAGAATCAGAAGACTCTTGTGACAGTAAAATGTTCTTTCCCAGTGAAGACCTGTCTAGATCTGCTAAGGATCTAACCAAACCCATTAAGGGGTATCTCTTTCCCACCCCCCCTTTTTTTTTTTAACTTTGTTAAACATTTATGCATTTTTGAGAGACAGAGATAGGGCACAAGTGAAGGAATGGCAAAGAGAGAGGGAGACAGAGAATCTGAAACAGGCTCCAGGCTCTGAGCTGTCAGCACAGAACCTGATGCAGGGCTCGAACCCACGACCCAGGAGATCACGACCTGAGCTGAAGTCAGATGCCTGACTGACTGAGCCCCCCCTGGTGCCCCTCCTACCCTGTTTAGTAGAGTTGAGCCAACTGCTTTCAGTCATGAAAGATTGCAAGGCGGGTCACGTGCTACACCGGCCTCTTAGAGCCTCTAACTTAACTTCGTCTGGGAGGAAAAGTAGATTGAACCAGTCACTAACATGGGCTGCATGTATGTCTTCTCTCTTGAAACAGCTCAATGGTCATTCGGGACTTAACCTTACGCAGTGCTGCTAGCTTTGGCTCCTTCCACCTGATCCGTCTACTCTACGATGAGTACATGTTCTACTTAGTTGAACATCGTGTGGCTCAGGCAACAGGAGAGACACCCATAGCGGTCATGGGCGAGGTAAGAGAGGCCAGAAGAGCTGTAACTCACAGGGCTTTGAGAAAAGAACCAGAATTTCATTTTAATTTAAATATATTATTTACCTATGAAAGCAATTGTTTCTCACTATTCAGGGAGACTCCGAGGGGCTGTGGAGTTATTGTGGGGGGGGGGGTCCTTAAATCCCTTTTTATATGTATTTTCTTAATTAAAAGATTCTAAACTTATAAACTATGTCACTTGAAAGTTTGTGGACTCTTCCAGTATGTGGTAAAGGTGTCTATGGAAAGGAAAAGTTTGAGAATCCCTGGCCTAAAAAAACCATCGTTGAACAGAAAATGAGAAATATTGTTGTTTCTGGTAAGGCGAAGGGCCACAAATACAGAGGGCAGAGTTAAATATGTATTTCGTAGACTCTTTCTCCAAGCGTCCAGGAGCAAAATAAATGATCCTGTTTCAGAAGGATAGTGACAGTGACGGTGATGACAATGGCTAGCATTTGAGGGTTATTTACTCTGTGCCAGGCACAGTTTGAAGTCCTTTATATGTAGGAAAGGATCGGACACTTAACTTCTTGAGGTAGGTACAACTGTGTCCTGCTTACAGTGAGTATCTGAGGTGGATGTAGAAAGCGAAGGGCACAGATGAAATGGTTATGTAGCTGATGCTGGTGGAGGCCTGTTTCAAACACTCAGACTCTGATTTTCAAACTCCGGCTTCTCATTGCTGAAGATACAAAGAAAATAAATTCTCTTCAGAATTTTTAGATAGAAAATAAAAATGTCTTCTTTTCAGCGCGTGTCCAAAAGCTGATGCTCTGATGTAAATTTACACAAGGGTGGTTAATAAAATGAGGAATAGATACACATGCAGCAGTAATTCTACACCAGCGTATTTTGTTGTACTGAACTGGGGGTACTTCTGGTGTTCCTAGATTGGGACGTATTACAAATTACCCAAAGCAGGAAAGAAGACGTGTTCCTTTTTAAGCTGTGTGTATGTGCATATTTAAATTTAAGAAGTCAAAATAAATATGAGACCCTTTTCTTAGTTTAAGAAATAGGATAATAAAGGTATGAATTAAAAATACATTAAAATACCTCAAGGACCTTTATAAGTATCTAATACAGATAAAATACCTGTCAGACTTGCTCAGAACGCTGTTTAAAAGTTTCTCTTTATTTTTTTTTAATGTTTTTATTTATTTCTGAGAGAGAGAGAGGCAGCATGAGCAGGGGAGGCTCAGAGAGAGAGGGAGACACAGAATCTGAAGCAGGCTCCAGGCTCTGAGCTAGCTGTCAGCACAGAGCCCAATGCGGGGCTTGAACCCATGAACCATGAGATCATGACCTGAGCCAAAGTCGGACACTTAACTGACTGGGCCCCTCATGCCCCCCCTCTTTCCCTCTTTAAATTCCCTGGCTTTGCGCTGGTCTGTATGTGTTGATCTGATGCTCCTTGATGGTGTTTTTGCTTAACTGATGCCAGCGAAGTATATATATGTGTGAGATTTAGCAAGAATCGCTGTAGCGTTTAGACAATAGGCAGGATCTTATGGAACCAAAACCATCTGGCCTTTTCTTAGATTTGACCTCCCGTTAACGCCTTTTTCAGCAGTCGTCTTACAAATACCTGGTTGCAAAATGCTCAGTTGGCGTGTAGATTAAGTGCTGTAAATTTGCTTCAGTCAGGGCCCCAAACCTTGGAAACAGACACGCCCTTTGGTCTCTTTAACACATTTTCCAACCCCCTCGTATGTTCTGGGTCTTCTTTAAGAAGACGGTCAGGATAATGGTAACAGGGATTCTTTTTTTTTTTTTTTTTTAAATGAGGGCAATGTAGTGAGTCTTTATTTTTCATTTTTTATTTTTCTAGGAGAGAGAGAGAGACAGTGTGAGCAGGGGAGGGCCAGAGAGAGAGGGAGTCATAGACTGAAACAGGCTCCAGGCTCTGAGCTGGCAGTCAGCACAGAGCCCGACGCGGGGCTCGAACCCACGAACCGCGAGATCATGACCTAAGCGAAAGTCGGACGCTTAACCGACTAAGCCACCCAGGCGCCCCGGTAACAGGGATTCTGATGAACACCGTGTGACCAGTCCTGATGTGTGGTCTTTTCCTTGCTCACATCTCAAGGGAACAAAGGCAGCAGGCAGGAGCCGGTCACAGTGGAAAGACTGAGCAGTTGCGAGGGCGATACTGGCTCACCAGGGTTAAACCGTTCTTACGTAGTCAGTGCTGCCAACTAACTATCCCCGTAGGTGTTCTTTTTCCTTTCTTTCTTTCTTTCTTTTTTTTTTACTCTATGTAAACAATGCAAATGAATATGACAGACTCCCCCATGAGATAGATACAGTATGAGTAAAATCTAGATCAGAAAATAGGGTACAAAACACCTTTTGTGAGATCAGCAGTCAAATAAGGACACCTCTTGACTTCTTTGCCTGCTCTCTCTCCCTTACCCAATTTATAGGAAAATCCTCGGAGCTGTCTTGACTCATCCATTATCCATCCCAAGCCAATTAAGGGCCATTTTCTAGGTTGATTCCCCGCATAGGACATTGATGGCCTCCTACATCTGTTGGCCATAACAGTCCTGTAGATCATGGTCATATCCTTGTCTCTGGAGTTTCTTGATTCTTGAGAAAAGGAGAAGGAAATTCACGAACAAGGAAGGCTGTTTTCTCACATGTCCCTCATGTTATCCTGTGCCTACCCTAGAAATCAGATTGGAGGTAAAAAAAAAAAAAAAAAAGGCTTCTGCATGTTGAGGCTCAGTGGCATGAGCCCCGTAGGTAATTGCCCTTTTCAAACACCAAGTGCCTGCGGGGACACCACCTTAGACCCAAATCCATTGAAATCCATAAAAGTCACCCTTACCCTCAATTGCAGCAATTGGTTTTGAATCACCAGTCACAGCAGCAACTGCAAACACAATAATAGTTCTTACTATTTGTTGAGAGCTCATTACATACTTCGTGAAACCAGACTCTTGATCTGTCTGCCACTGGCCCTTTCTCACTAAATGGTACCACGATTCTCCCAGTAGATCATGCTGGACACGTGCGCATCTTCTTCTACATGTCTCTCCGTCCGGGCCCCTGCGTCCACCCCGTTACTGAATCTGGTCTTTCCCAAACCTCGCATAGTGCAGTCAGTATTGCCTTACAAAAGGGCAGGCTGGGTTGTGTTACCCGTACTTAAAACCCATCAGTGGTATTCTCTTCTGTTAGGTAAGGAACGAAAGTCTTTCCTTGGAGCACGAGGTGGGACATGGTCTGGCCCCGCCTCTCCGATTAACCTCAGCCTCCCACCTCGCCTTCCTTTCGTTGCAATCACCATGGTCGTTTCTCTCTCCTTATTCACCAAGATTTTCTCTCATCATTGGACCACTGTGTCAATGGTTCTTTCTACCTTGAATCTTCCACCCAATTCCCCCTTGCTCATGCGAAGTCCTGCTTCACATCTTAAATATGAATTCCTCAGGGGGGGTCCCATTCCCCCTCCCACTACCTTAGATACCCTCATTCTCTCCGATCTGTACATTTACTTTTTATTCTAGAACCTACACCACATTAATCACATGGTTCTTTGCATGGTACGTGTAATCAAAGATTTAATGCCCTGGAAATAATGAGGACTTTGAGTCAGGAGAACTGAATTCTCATGATTGGCTCTGTCACTTACAGTGGTATATAGTCTTGGGCAAATCTTCCTCACTGATGATGAACTTCAGACTTACCTCTGAAATTAATTTATTCATTTCTTTAACAGATTTTTTTTATATAAAAAGCAAGTTTTTTTTAAATGTTTATTTTTGAGAGAGAGAGAGACAGAGCACAAGCAGGGGACAGGCAGAGAGAGAGGGAGACACAGAGTCCGAAGCAGCTCCAGGCTCTGAGCTGTCAGCACAGAGCCCGACGCGGGGCTCGAACCCACGAACCATGTGATCATGACCTGAGCTGAAGTCCAGGATGCTTAACCAACTGAGCTACCCTAGGCGCCTCTGTTTAACACCTACCTACTCTATACCAGATGCTGTAATGATTAGGTTATAGTGATGAAAAAAATAGATTTTGACCTTGCATTCAAGAAGCTTACATTTTAGTTTGTCACTTCCTATTTACTAAATATTCACATAACTGTAGAGCTACAAAATTAAAGCGAAATAGGAATACTCGAAGCATGAGGCCTTCATCTAGCCTGGGAGGGCCAGGGAAGGCTCCCCCCAACTCCGGAAATGTTTGAAGTGAAATCTAAAGGGCAAAAGGAGTTAATAACTATGTGAAATTGGTGAGAATTGGGGGGTAAGGGGTGGAGACCACTGCAGGCACATAGAGACATGCACACAGGTCCTGCCTGAAATGGAAGAGAGCATGACCAAGGGGCAGTTTTCATGGACAATCTGCGGGTCAAACACCAGCGAGACCAAATATACACCATCAAATTCAGTTGACAGGAGGTAGAATTGGATTAGGAAAGAAACTCAAAAATTTCAAGTGACGCTCATATAGTACTTATGTGCCAGGCACTTTTCTAAGCACCTTGTGGATATTAACTTAATAACTCACAACAACCCTATTTATAGGGTTGAATATTATTATACCTGTTTAAAATTTTTTAATGTTTATTTATTTTTGAGAGAGAAAGAAAGAGAGAGACAGCATGAGCAAGTGAGGGGCAGAGAGAGGGAGACACAGAATCTGAAACAGGCCCCAGGCTCTGAGCTGTTAGCTCTGAACTCTGAACAGCAAGATCATGACCTGAGCCAAAGTCTTATGCTTAATCAACAGAGCCACCCAGGCGCCCCTTAATATACTCGTTGTACAGATGGTGACAGGAGACACAGAGCCACCAAGTAGCTCGCCTAAGCGCACGCAGCCACTAAGTGGTGAGATCACGCTTCAAAAACCAAGCAGTCTGGCCCCAAGTCCTTGCTGTAATCCACCATGCTCATCACCCGCGGCAAGAATGGGGGTGGGGGAGCAAGGTGAGTAGGGAAGTCAGCGAGAGGAAACCTCGGA